TTATTTTTATTTTATTTATTTTTTTCTTTGTCATTCTTAAATTATTTTTAATTTAACATTTTTCTATTAAATAAATAAATAAATAATTATTTATTCTATTTTAAAGGTATGGTTGCATCAGCATATGATCATAAACTTCTACAACGTGTTGCTATTAAAAAAATTACTCCATTTGAACATCAATGTTTTTGTCAACGAACATTACGTGAAATAAAAATTTTAGCAAGATTTCGTCATGAAAATATAATTAATATTCAAGAAGTCATGCGTGCACCAACAATTGATCAAATGAAAGATATTTATATAGTGCAATGTCTTATGGAATGTGATTTATATAAATTATTACGTCATCAACGTTTAACAGATGAACATATTTGTTATTTTTTATATCAAATTTTACGTGGATTAAAATATATTCATTCAGCTAATGTGTATGTAAATATTCATTGAAAGTTTCTTTCTTTCTTTCTTTCTTTCTTTTTTTGTTTTAAAATATTAATTTTATTTTTAGTTTACATCGTGATCTTAAACCAAGCAATTTATTATTAAATACAAATTGTGACTTAAAAATATGTGATTTTGGTCTTGCAAGAATAGCTGATCCAAATAAAGATCATTCGGGTCTCTTGACAGAATATGTAAATAAGATTTATATTAATATTAAAATAATATTATATGACATAATGTCTAGGTTGCTACTCGATGGTATCGAGCTCCAGAAATTATGCTCAATGCACGTGGTTATTATAAACCAATTGATATATGGTCTGTTGGTTGTATTTTAGCTGAAATGATTGGAGGAAAGTAAGTTATTTTTAAATAATAATTATTAGTAAATATAAATATAATTTTTGTTTTGTTTTGCCTTAATTTAAAGACCTTTGTTTCCTGGTAAACATTATATTGAACAAATAAATTTAATTTTAAATGTAGTTGGTTCACCAGATGAAGGTGATTTAACATCAATTAGTAAGTTTAATAAATATCGATCATTTCAGATAAAATGTAATATATAACTATCTTTCATTCTTTATAAAGATTATTTTTCTGAATAAGTTCTTTTATCATAGACATACATAAAAATATTAGTTCTTTCAGCTCTAGAGTCCGTCGAGCTGGTCCGAATCTGAAAATTTTGAATCCGACAGGTTCTATTTAGTTGACTATTAATTAAAAAGTAATTAGCAAATATCTCTCTAACTATATGAGAAAAAAATTAGGATAGATTCTACGGTATGAATTGCATCTATGGTGAAATTTTTAGTAGGATTAGACTCCCCAAAAAAAAGAAATCGTTTTTTAAAGATTCTATCGAGTCCTGAAATAAAAATTTTCATCTTACTATTATCCAGAGATTCTGAAGTAAGGTTTGTACTGTTTGAAATTAATTTTGAATTAGTTATAAGAGCATTTTTTCGTACTCCGTCACGATACTAATAAATGATTTAACTCATATATATATATATATATATATATTTTAGTTAATGAACGAGCTCGTAATTATGTCAGTTTATTACCTGTTCGTAAACGAACACCATGGAAACAATTATTTCCAAATGCATCTGATTTATCACTTAATATGCTTGATTATCTTTTAACATTTAATCCAAATCGTCGTGTTGCAGTTGAAGAAGCACTTAAACATCCATATCTAGCTCAATATTATGATCCATCAGATGAACCTATAGCTCCACATCCATTTACATTTGATATGGAACTTGATGATTTACCATTGCCACAATTAAAACAACTTATTTTTGAAGAAACAGAAATAATTCATGATTTATTACAACAACAACAACAACAGCGAGAATAAACTTTCAACGGTGATTTGTGTTTTTATTCATTTCGATTTGTATAAAATTGGCTAGTTGTTTTATTTTTATTTTTATTTTTGTTCTTTTACCCACCATAACTGCCATAAATCAATCATCAAATCCACAAAAAAATGCCAAATCAGTTTGTTTTCTTTTCTGTTTTTTTTTTAAAGTCAATGTGTCTTATTGTATTGTGAAATGTATATCATTTATTTATAATTATTGTTGTTTTAGTTTTTATGTTGTACATCTGCTTTGTGAAGTTTTATCAAATGTGGCGGTTCTATTTATAAATATGTATAAGTATAATTAAGAAAAAAAAAATTCAAAATCAAGAATATTTTAAATGAAACGATATCGTTTTAATTTCATATATTGTAAAAACAAAAAAAAAAGATTCAATGCGAAATTTATTGTAGATTCAATTATTTTGATGATGATTGTTATCTATACTTTGCAAATGAATTACATAAAGGTGGGAATAATTCTCTAACTTTAATAAAAATAGGAGCGAATGATTATCAAAAACTAAAATTATTGCTTCTATTCAATGATTAAAAGATTACATTGCTTTTCACGACTTTGATCTTTATCTTTGTGTAATCACTAAGACAAGAAATCGGAATTTTGGTCTAAGAAATTTTTAGACCAAGCCAAAGTTTACTGCATTAATCCTAATAAAGAGCTTTATTTCTAATAATAATTCATGCATTCTCGTTAGAATTTAATGCTCAGTACTGTGTTATTCTGCTGAAGGTCCATCTAATTTATCGTTTCGATTTGAAACGACAAAAAAAAATGTTCAAACTCTTCTGATCCCTTTAGATTTACATCCTCGTGACAGGTTTTTTAAATATATGTTCGAATCTGTACATACTTTTCGATAGTGTCAAAACATAAAATAAGGATAAGTTTTACCGTGTACATAGAGACGAGTATGAATCGTGACTCTTCGATGGATACTATGCGCCACTAATATAAAAAGTTAGTTACGCAAGAAATTTTTTAAAATTCTTGAGTAATGGAACTCAAGTGTGACATGCCAGACAGATTCGGGCGTACTAAATAGACATTTAATCGTATTTTAAATTTCTCTCAGAAAAAGCTTGATATGTTTTTTTTATCAACATTTCTCGAAGAAATTATAAAGAGGAGTATATGTCTGCTGAACGCTATGGAGTGCCACTTTATTATTCTTATCAGAGAATTACCCCAACTCACATCTGTCATTTGAGGTCATGTTGGATATACAGGCAGGTCGCATGAGGAAAATCTTCCGGCTGTATAATTGCTTTTGAGTATAGACTGTATGCATTTGGTAGACTCAAATGAACTATGAATACTCTTGAAGATAGTTTGTGCTCTTAGTTTATTGAAGAGGAGATACTGCACTTTTACAATATTTTTTAAATGAATGCTATGGTATCAGAAAAACTGATTTTCAAATTTTGACTTGAAACTTTACATAGAGACAGGCGTTAACGAGAATAGTTTCAGATCTAATTGTTGTTCCTATCCTAAGATACAACTATGGTAATAGCGTGACTTTTACATCACTCATAGAAGCCAGCAGATTTGATTTTTTTCTTTCAGGATAGAAGCAAATCAAAAGACCTGGAACTTTTATAATAAACTACTCTTGTTGAAGTGTATCTCTATGTAAAGTTTCAAGTTGAAATTCGTATATCAGTTTTTCTTTTATCACGACATTCATTCGAAAACTACCATAAAAATGCCGTATTTCGGCATTTATAAGCTAGGAGCGCGAACTCTTTTCAAGGTATTCATAGTTGATTTGAATTTACATAGGTCATACAATCTAAACTCAAAAGCAATTAAACAGTTGGAAGGCTTCGTCGCCAGTGTGATTAACAGAAGCCTAAAATGGTTTGTCCTTATGCGCTTTTGATGCTGAGGTATTTACCGATTTACTAGATGTTCGATTCATGTGTAAGTAGTTTCTGAAAAGTCAAATTAAGGAATTTCAATCTCAAATTTTTCCTATAGATACTTTTAATGATCCTTAGAATATCCTGACAGTTTCAGCCGAAAATAATATTCCTTCATCGATATATTAAATTTCCAAAAATAGTCTTGCGTCACAAAAACTGAGTTCGCTTGAAAATTGAATAACTCGACGAAGAAAAATTATTTTCGGATATTCTAAGAATCAATATACATATCCTTGGGTAAAAGCTTTGGATCGAAACTCCGTTATTTAGTATTTCATGAGGTACCTAAAATGGAGACGAACCCTTTGAGACATTTGATAATCTCATTGAAATTTGCCTATGGATCCAATATGATCTCAAATGATGGGTGTCATTTAGTATAGTTCCCTTGTTAAAAATAAGTCCTTAATATGTATTAATGAGGTCAACTTCGGCTCGGTGCAAAAATTTCTGTATTAAGGAACTGTTATTTTCTTTTTCTTTTTTATTACAATAAAAAAGGTTTGCGTACTCGTGTAACCGAATATTGATTTAATTGATTCTTAAACCCATCTAGGCGTCGTATGCTGAGAGAAATAAAATATTTATTCTAGTATATAAAGACTCTTTATTCAGATGAATGCATGATTTTTGTTGTTACTATTATTCACTTTGATATTTATTAAATATGGACTTTGAAAGAAAAAGCAAAAGGAGAAAGACATAACTTAGTGTAATTTTGCTTGCTCTAAGTATTGAAATTTTAATGATGTCATGTATACGAAAACGAAAAAGAAAATGATTTGCCAGACTGAAAATGAAAATTTTAATTTATTCATCTACATTGGTTTCGAAGATTTTTACGTTGACTGACATGACTAAAGAAAAGAACGACGAAAACGTAAATCGTATTTATTGACGCAAATATGTTTTTTCCTTGTTGAAAGAAAAAAAATATTATATATATATATATATATAATCAATAATATATTTTTAATATCTACTTTTAGACTATCAAATATTTTAAATGTTAACGATTTACCAATTGATAATGTGAAACTTTTACCAACTGTAACTGATAATGACGGCAACAGTATTAGAAACACCTGTTATTGATCATATTAATGCATCAGAAAAATATCGATTTGAAACATTTTCTAGGTAATTATTTATGTGATTTGTTCATAAATTTCTATTAGATTTATTTAGTTTATTAAATTTTCCATTAATAACACGTCATCAATTAGCTCTTGCTGGTTTTATCTATCGTGAAACAAAATGTCTATGTCCACAATGTGGTATTACTATTGATTTAACATCTTTAGATGATAATGCTATATATGCTTCAAATTATTTTCGAAAATTACATCGAGAAAAAGTTTCTTATCTTGGTAAACGTTGTGCATTTTTATTATGTGAATCAGCTACAAATATTGATGATCTTCATCCATCATTAATATCTCAACAAGGAGAAAAATTACAATGGGATGATGCTGAACAACCAGATTTTAGTGATTATAATGTACGTCTTCAAACATTTCATTCATCGCCTTATTTACAACAAGGAGAAAATACTTTTGTTACACCACCATTATTAGCTAAACAGGGATTCTATTTTTCAGGTACAAGACTTTTGTTTTTGTTTTTTTTTACTTTTTATATTAAAAATAAAAATTCGAAATTTTAGGTCCTGATGATGGTGTTACTTGTTTTTATTGTGGTAATATATTAACGAATTGGTCAGAAGCAATTCATGATACAAATAAAAATATTGTTCAACTTGAACATGCTCGATTTTTTCCATGTCGTTTTATTACATATATAGCTGGTGGAAAATTCGTTGCTAATGCTGGTTATTTACATGTTGTATCTGATCAAGGTAAATGATATAATAATCAATAAAATGAATTAAATTTTGTTTTTAGAACGTCGTCTTCGTAATCCTATGACATCAAAAGCAGTAAAAAATTCTAATAAACCTCAATCAATTGATGAATGTTTATCAACATTTGAAAATTGGCCTAGTTATGCTCCAGTATTACCTAAAGATTTAGCTCAAACTGGTTTTTATTATTTAGGTGAAGAATTAAAAGTAAAATGTTATATGTGTGATCTTGAAGTTGATGAATGGCATCATGGTATGACAGCATTTGGTACACATAAACGACGTCGAGGTAATTGTGAAATAATTCAAGCAATTCTTAGTACAGAAACAGGTGATTTTCAATGTGTTAATGAAAAATGGCGTTTACAAACACTTGATGGTTTATCATTTGAAAATGATTGTGATCAACATTTATGTCGAGAATTAGCTGCATGTGGTTTTTATCGTTTTAAAAATACAAATAATATTCGTTGTGCATTTTGTGCAGTTTTAATTCAACCAAAAATAGATTCATCAATTATGTCTCAACATCGAAATTTAGCTAAACAATTAAAAAAATCTTCAACTGTTGATTGTATTATGGTTCGAGCACGATGTCCAACGAATATTGTTATACCAGATCGTGAACGTTTTCCAGAATATCCAGAACATCAATCTATATTTGATCGAATTAAAACATTTGAAATTTATCAAGAACGTCATAAAGTTTTGGATAATTTTATACGTGAAAGAGCTGAAGCTGGATTTTTTCTTGATAGTATGTTTGTTTTTTTTTTATTTAGATTATTTGTTAAATAAATATATTTTTATTTAGCAATGAAACGTATGAGATGTTTTCAATGTGGAAATTCATTACCGATTAATGATAAAAATCTACTTAGAAAATATTCTCAATATGATATACAAAAGTTACATGCACATTTTTATCCAACATGTGAATGGGTAAAAGAAATATTAGGTTTTAAATACATAGCACAAGTATTATTTGATCGTACGAAATTAGGTAATTTTTATTCTTAAAATTAAATTATATATTTTCTTATCTAATCTTTTCTTTTTTTTATAAGATGAAATAGAATATCAACAGTCATATAATACACAATTATCATCAACATCAAGTCGACCTACTCGAGATTCTTTCTCATCTGTTTCAACTACACCAGGCATTTATGATCATACATTTGCAATTGAAGCTAATATATCTGATTATTCTGCTGAATCTGATGGTGATGGTGATGGTTATGAAACTGTTGCTACACCTTTTAAAGCACAATTTATCGATCATACCTCACCGATTCATTCACCAACATCACCATCATCTACAACAACATCTCATGATTCATCATTAACAACAGCACAAGCTTGTACTGATGTTATTACTAGTGATAGTCAAGGCCGGTGGACATCACCTATTCTGACAGACCAAACAAATCCATTTAAACAATTGGCTGCAGAATCAAAATCACCACCCATTGATATTGCTCGTACTGATATTTCACCCATTGATCCTCGGGCATTTTTTGCATACGAATCAAATCGATTAGATTCATTTAAAAAACAAAATCGTAAAACTTTTGCTCAATTTAAGATTGAAGAACTTGCTTATGCCGGATTTTATTTAAATGCTGAAGGTACTGTTATTAAATGTCCATGGTGTGTTGTTGAATTAACTGAACAAAAATTTGAAAATATAACACATGTACGACCACCTATTCCTGGTTCACCATTAAATGATGAACCATGGACAGCAATGCGTGTACATAGGCATGAAAGTGGACAATTTATAGATAAAAATCATTCATGGTGTCTATGGGTTAGACGAGAACTAGGTGGACTGTATCCAAATGTCAGCATGGTATGAAATTTTGTTCTTTTTTTTTTTGATAATCTTTATTTTCAAAAACAATTTTTTTCTATAGAATGTAAGTCATATGCGTTATCCAGAATATCCATCGTATGCAGTAATAGAAAAACGTATTCAATCATTTCAATCTAATTGGGTGTATCCAAGTGGTAGTATTCTGTCTAATGTAGCAATGGCTAATGCTGGTTTTATTTATTTGGGTAATGGTAAAGTATGTTGTTATTATTGTGGTAATAAATTTGTTGATTTTGAACCACGGTAAATAATATTCATATTTATAATTCATTGTTTACTTTGATTCAATTCAATTTTAGTGATTGTCCATTTGAAGAACATGCAACATTTCATCCATTATGTGATTATATAACAGAAAAACGTGGTATATCGTATATCGAACGAGTCTTGAAAGAATCTCCGCGAAGTATATATATTTAATGTATTTATAAATTAATCAATGTTTTTTTGTGTTCTAACTATTTTTAGCTCCACATGCAAAACATAAATATGAAAGGATTGGTACACAAAAAATTAAATGTATTGTTTTCGATAAAACTGGTATGAAAATTTTGTTAAATTGTATATACACAACAAAGACGATGCGAAAGTTCTACATTAAATGTTGTTTTCAGTATAGCGGGGACAAAAACTCGTCGTAGAGATTCGATAGTTTTCTTGAAGTGGATTTTTGTCTTGCACTTGGCTTTCAAAATTTTTAGACACATTATACGTCCTCTACAACATTCAATGAAGTTTTTTCTCATAATGTCTAATATTCTGTTTTATATAATGTGCTTTTGTAGAGGATTACACTAAACTCTAATCGAACCAAAACCGAGCAACTTAATTCAATTCATGAGTCTAGTTGAATTGAGTCGAAACAAAATTTTGGAGATCACTGAATTGTAAGTCTTTTTTTTCAAGATCTGCGAATGCAATGCAATTTAACTTAAAGAAATTTTGAAAATTGTTGCTATCAGATCAATTTACTTATATGTATATATATATATATATTTCTCATGCATTCGCACCATCTTATAGCTATTTTCTTCTTTTCTTTCTTTAATGAGTATATATAATTTATGTATATATGCTCTCAATGTACTGATGTGTTTTCCTATTCTTTTGGGTCATAAGTACAAAATTCATTGATACTTATCAACTAGCGTAATATCATACATATCATTTGTTCCGGTGGATTGATGGGATATCTATTGTGAAGCATAAATATCTCTTATAATATACTCATCTGTTATCAATGATATTTGCTTCAGCCATGACCTTGTTTTGAAGTCTGCTGCTATTGTTATATAAATATTCGAAAGTATTCTATAGTAAATAAGCTTCGTTATATCGTGACATCAAGGAAACAGATTTTTTCTCTTATGCGATGAATAACAATAAAATTCTTTCTAACTCGTTCAATGGAGGAAAACAATTCAGGCTAATGATTCTGGAATCCAGATTCGTATATTTTCGGTCGGGAAGTTCGGGAAAAATGTAGGAACTTGGAAGCAGGAATTCAGTGATTGGATCTGATGGTCAAATTCTTCTAGTTTCGATCAGAACAGACAGCGATCTGATGGAATCAGCCTGTATTCCTTGATCTGAATAGAACATATGTATTCATTAGAATTTTTTTATGCAACTGCGTTGAGTTGAATTGTTAGAAAAACTTCTATTTCGACCTCATGAGAGAACATCTTCAGATGTCAAATCGCTTTTCGACTAAGACGATGTTCATTCGATGAGCACTAGCGAGTAATAGAAAAGCCTAGAATGATTTGGTTTTCCGTACCTTTGTGTTCTTGAGATATTGAAATTTTTGTTCATATATTTACATCTCCAGAAAGGAAATACTAGTTGAGCAATCAACTAATCACATCGAAAACTTTGTTGATGCAAAGTTTGAAGTCGAAAGTTGAAAGTCGATTTTCTGCATGGCGTGAAGAGGATGGAAAAGTCCGGTAAAATTTCAATATATCAAGAACGCAGATCCGAAAAACCAAACCATTCTAAACTTTTCTATCACTCATTAATATTCATCAAATGAACACTGTTCTGGTCGAAAAGTAATTTGACATCTGCAAAGATTCTCTTGTCAATCAATAACTTGAAAAATTTTATTTTGACCTGTCTACTATGCCCTATCGTAGCGCTACAATACCCGATAAACGATAGAAAAAAAAACACCAAGTTTCTTAATAGACGAAGATTTTCTTCTATATTCCAGAAGCATGAAAAGAACTTGTCAGTCTTCGATAAATATTTTGAATAGAATAATTTTAAACAATTTTTAGCAGAGACATTACTCTTTCTAACAAGAAAACTATTAAATCTCTAGGACGACTTGTTATCATGCTATAGTGAAAAACAAAATTAATAGAAAATTTTTGCATCATCTCTTGTATACATATAATCAAAATTTAAGGTCCATCAGTAAGTAAAAATAGTCGTATACCAGTAAAACGAATTAATTCACGATTATCAACAATGACAAGTCGAAGTATGTCACGTTCAACAACACATAATTCGGATATAATTGAAGATAATTGTCAAATATGTTATGGAAATGTAGCTACATATGAATATAATCCATGTCAACATTGTCCCATGTGTGGTGAATGTTTTGCAAAATTAACTGAACAACAACATGAAGAATGTTGTTATTGTCGTCGACCAGCAACAATACATTCACGTGTACTAATGTAACTCGTTTTTTAAATAATAGGTGTCTTTTTTTGTTAAATAAGATTTTAAAAAGAAGAAAAAACAATAAAAAGCAACGAAAAATTATTTACTTTTTTAGATAACTAGTTCACTTCGAGGAACTATTAAAACAGTAACTATCATTGGAAGTGATCTAATGGGTTCAGAAATAGCACAAGCAAGTTTTTATTAAAATAAATTTTTTGTAGTTAAAAATTTTCGAATAGGTTGCGGCTACAACTAATCATCAAGTTATACTTATTGATCAAAAAAAATAAGAATTTCTTGATAAAAATTTAAATATAATTGAAACAAATTTAAAGCATATAATTTTAAAAAATTGATAAAGATCAAGAAAAATGGTAAAAAATATTAAAATGATATTAAAAATTGTATTAAAACAAGTTTAAATGTTAATCATGCTGTTAAATCAACAGATTTTATTATTGAAAATCTTGAAACAAAATAAAAATTATTTAAACAAATTCATCAAATTGTACCAAAGTTTGTTTTGTTTTACTGTTAAACTTTCTTTTTCTTTTTTGTCTTCTCGAAAATATTCTATAAAATCACCTGACAACATTAGATCTAATCTTAAAAGTTATCGAAGAACATTTAGTGTCTCAAAATATTTATTGATTTCTATAGAATGTTTATCAAACAATTTTCGGTACTTTGCTTTAGGCGAATGAGACATGGTATAGAAACTTTATTATGTTAATAGGTACACATCTTTCACATGATGTGCAATAATAGATACTTCCAAAGAACAGTATGACATAGAAACGAACTTCTTTATAATGAGTAGCAAACCGTATATTTAGTAGAAATACTCATTTTCACTAAATACAGGCTTCAACTTCTATCATAAGTTGTTCATCTTTCTTTCTTGCAAACTGATCAAAACTTTACATTGGAATATGTCACTCTGATATTGATTCAAAGCGATGATTATCGTAAACTTTCATTGAAAATGGCCGATCCTTCTACGTATCGGTATATGATGGGATAATTGGTCTATAATGACTTCCAGACACAGCTGGTGATCGACTGCCAGATAATAAATAGATATATTCCGAAAAACTAAAGTAATAGAGAACAAAAACATGAATAGGATTTATTGTATACTAGAAATGGATACAAATTAGAGACGCTAAGTGCTATTCGGTTCTCGAAACGACTTTTAAGATTAGACCTAATGCTTTCACATGATTTTGTAGACAATTGAATAGTTAATCTTTTGAGACTAATGAAAGAAGTCTCTCAATTGACTAATTACTTTTGAGCCGGAAGCGTATGCATGATGTAGACCCTAATGGTTTATGAGTACTAGGAAACGAGTTCGAGTCTATAGCTGATTGTTGTCAATATAGTGCATTTTTCCGGTATTATTCAATAGAATGAAGAACACTAAGAAAACTGATTTTCGAATTTCGACTTGAAATTTTGCCTAGGAACAAGCATTAACAAGAATAGTATCAGACTATTTGATCTGTTCTTATCCTGAACTAAAAATATCGCATTTGCGGATGTATCTAAACGATGTAAAAGGCGCACTTTTACCATGACTGTATCTTGCGATGAAATTCAAAAATTCAGTTTTCCTGATGCTCTTCATTGTATTGAAACATACCATAAAAATGTCATGTGCCGACCGCAATAAGCTATAGATTTCAACCCTTTTCGAAATATTTATAATCCATTAGGGTCTACATACTGCACATACTCTTAATTTAAAAGCGATTAATCCATTCGGGGACTTTTCTCATAAGTGCAGTTTTTCTATCTGCAAAGATGACTAAAACAAATAGAAAATATACATGGTGCTATTATTTATGATGTACTCGTTATTTATTTCTTATACCAGCTATGAAATTACTTGAAGTCATTCGTATATCATCAACAAGTGATGAAACATTTCAAACAATGATAAAGCATTAGAAAAAAAAACGACTGTTTCTTGCAAAGTTTGTTATAGTATAATTAATTTTGTTGTTTAATCGTTGTATTCCAGATTTTCATTGTTAATCGATTATTAATACCTTATCATGCTGAAACAGTTCGAATGATTCGACGTAGTGATACAACAGCTGAAGGTGATATTTTTAATTTTAGATTTCTTATAATTTATTCATTTTCGATTATAGATATTGATATTGCAATGAAATTAGGCGATGATTATCCCATGGGATCAATTGAATTAATGAATTATATAGGTTTAGATACATCTAAATTTATTACTGATGGATGGCAAAAAATATTATCATGATGAACCAACATTTCAAACATATAGTTTAATAAATAAACTTGTTTCTGAAGGAAAACTTGGTAGAAAAATAGATGTTAGTTTTTAATAAATATCCCAAAAAAAAAAATAATTATGATATTGTCAATATCAATATATTATCATATGATTAACTTTTTTTATTTGTTTTTTACAAAATTTCACCGAGAAAACAAATTGAAATAAATTTTCAAAAAAAAAAAGAAAGAAAAAAATTTCATTATATCAGAACAAAGATAGTGCAATATAACTTCTACTATGTAAAACACTTTTATTACATTTAGGACATGATTGTGCTTCATATGTCCATCTTTGTAATAAATTTAAAATACATCTAAAAATTAACGAAAAAAATATATATATATATATTTAAAAAGTTTACTTTTTTTTCTCTCCTTTTACCTTTCATGAAAAATATGTGTACATGTTAAAATTTGTATTTGATCTGGATACATACCCATAGGTTCTTTACAAATGGTACATATAAGATCAATTTCTCGATAAAGACGTTGTGCTATTTCAAATGCCTGTCGTGCGTCTTCTAATTGATTATCAGAAGTAAGTATACGTTCATTTAATAAATGACATCGAGCTTGCATTAATTTATTTCCCATTGATGTTGCAGTTGATAATGCTGTTGCAAGAATTTCAGATGCCTATAAAACAGAGAATAAAATTTTCTTGATACTAAAATTTATCTATCCATTTTCATTTAGATTTTGTACGTGCTTACAAATATGTCTTTTTGTTTTATCAAAGAATATCATTGTCAATGGGCACGTCGAACTCATTTGTTTTATAATAGAAGCAAAAAAAAAAAAGAAAATATCCCTTAAAGCCGATCTTATCTGTCTCGTTTTTCTTTTATTTAAGACAGTAAATGAATTAATTATCATTAGTACGCCTACGAGCAAAATAAAAAGAAAAGAAACCAATGTTCTCATCAAATCTAATTGTTATGATTGTAGTACCAATGATGACATGAATAAGTTATTCATCAAAAGAAACTTATTAAGATGTTAATTTGAAAAACATTCTTATTATTCTTCTTCATTTTTGTTTTGTCGTTATATATCTATGAATATTTATTTGTCATTCTTATTATTATAAGTTTTCATTCATATAGAAAATTACAATGACAATTGTCTATACATAAAGTAAAAGAAGAAAGAAAAATAACGCTTACCATTTGTGTATGTGTATCGGGTGCCAATAAAGTCTTAACAAGACCAAGCATGGCAAGCGTAGAACTATATCGATCGTTCATATCTTGTAACATTTGAATGGCTGCTTCATATTTTTTACAAGCGACCTTGATATATAATTATAAAAGATAATAAAAAATATTTAAGTCAAACTAGGTTCCAATGAGTTAAGGAAATGGAAATTTTATCGTTTAAATAGGTTCACATACATTTAATTACATTTCGATGGCTATTTTTCGTTAAAGAAAAAGAAAAGCATTTCATCATGATAAATGACTTTTTGTTTTAGACAATAAAAATTCTTAAAAACGGAAACATGCCGTTTCCTGAACTCACTGGGATGTTTATTTAATAATAATAATATATATATAAAACACACACAAAAGCGATTTATCATCACGAATTGTATGTGATTCTCTATCTACCTCATTATTATTTTGAGAACGTTGAATATCTCCAAGACATACGAGACACTTCGCTTGAACAGGTCGATCGCCAAGACTAGATGCTGAACGCATTGCTTCCTATTATAATAAATAGAAATAATTTACTTTTTTTTTTTTTTGAAATTCTATAAAAAAAGAAGATAAATATTTTTATGTAAATAACCTCAACACATTTAGTTGCACCTTGAAGATCACCCATTAATCTTAATGGTGTTGCTAATTTTAATTTTGTTAAACGTACAAATTTTGCACTAATATTAGCATTTTGTTCACCGGCATAGACAGCATTAGATAAAGCTAATTCATGTGCACGACGTTGAAATGCAAGTGCTTTCGGAAAATCTTTTAATGCAAGAAATACTTTTCCCATTGTGTTAAGTACTTGAATTTCCATTAAATGATCTTCACTTTCATGTGAAATATATAACGATTTATCAAGACATTCAAGTACTTTTGGAAAATTACATAAACCTATATAGGAATCAGCCATAACAAGTAAAGCATAACCTTGTATAGAATCCGTTGTTTGTGAATATTGTATAGCTAAACGTGAATAGCTTACAGCTTTAAAATAATCAGCAAGCATTTCATTAGCACGTGATAAATTTAAATAAGCTTGAGCACGAAGTACATTATCATCAAGTTCATGAGCTATATCAATTTGTTGTACAGCATGAACAAGATAATCTTTATTTCGACCACGATCACGTGATGCTGATGCTAAATGACCAAGTGTAGAAAAACGTAAACGATTATCTTTCATTTTAGGTAATGCTGTTGTCCATTTTTTAATGGCAGCATCATAATTTTTTTGTGCATATAATTCAAGACCTTCATCAACTTGTCGACGTGTCATTCGTTGACCCATTATATAATGAATTAGGAAAATGAACGTATATTATCTTTTATTTTTTTGTATTTATATGTGCACAAAAGAATAAATCAAAATATAACGGTAATAGTGATAGAGTTTGTCAATCAATCTTGGAATGATGTTGATGATAAGTTGTAAATAGAATGATGACGAACGAGAAAATGATTAGATGAGCGTCTTCATTTTCGATGAAAATGATGATGCACGTCAGTGCGGTAGTTATTATCGTGAAATAGTCGATCAAGGCAAAAAAAAAAGAAAAAAAAAGAGAAAATAGGAGGAGGAGAAATGGAACGCGAAAGAGCCTTAGTCAAACAGCAACAAGAGGGAATATTGTATTTTCATGTCGCATCTTTTCCCTTATCAGCTATATAGCGACAACTAAGCAAGAGACGCCAAGAGATAGAGAAATAAAGAGAGAGAGAGAGAGAGATTGAAAATAGTCTTCTAATAAAACAGGTTTCTCATAGGCGTTTGTAGCCCTATCGGCTACATTATACATACATCCACATATGTAGTACATCAACTATTCGTTGATTTGTATCAGGTGTACGCTTTTGACTTCATATATATATATATATATATATATATATATATAGAAATAAGATAATATAATGAACATCGATGCATTTCCTATGCTCGAATAGATGTTTTCAAAGTAAATATGGTTCATATATATATAGATATATAGATATATATATATATAAAGAACAATGATAAATAATAGAGGGTTATTCGCTTTTGCATTTAACAATTTTTATCTAATCAATGTATCATCATCGAAGCACCAGAGGCATACTTGTTCGCGCATCTCTCGTGTCTTCTCATTTGCTAACTCTCTGCTGCTCTTTATGTCTTTTTGTCTCTAGGGAATATGACCCTCGCATTAGAACATTAGCAGTTGTAGTATGAATCTACTCTCATAGACATTTCGATAAGTGTTACATGTACAAACCCAATTAAACAAATGAACAAAAAAAAATATTTGAAAACATCCTATTTACATAACATAGTAATATATGTAATGCACCAATGCATCTATTTTTAAAGCATTAACGTAACAGAAAAATATTTTGTGTCAAATGCTGATCTCGAAAAGCCATTCACACAACACAAAGAGCATCGCTCTTCTGCTTTCTTTCTTCTTATACTTCCTCTTTGCTCAATTATTTATAAAAATCAATTTTCCAAACGGTTATTCAAGCGCTTGTTCGCTTTCTTTTTCTTCGTCTTCGTCTTCTTCTTCTTCTTCTTCTTCTTCTTCTTCTTCTTCTTCTTCTTC